AAGAAGCATAAAAATGAGAAGGTATCTGCTATTAAACTCCCTTGTAGTAACTCTCCGCATAGATTCTGAAGGAAATTTGACTGAGCTGAGCTTTGATGCTCTGTTTTCAGAGCATTAAAGTGAGCTAAGATAAGCCCCTGCCCTTTCAGTACTACAACAGACTGTCTTGGCAGTGACAAGGAGATAAACTTTGAAGAACATGAACTGGTTTGCAGGGAAGTGGAGCAGTGAGATGAAACCAGGGCTCCTCCCAGCACAGCACAGGTCACCCACAGCACTGAGCAGATGCCCAGCACTGCCTGAGCTGCTGGATCTGATCCTCTAATGTTGATATCTGACTTCATCACACAGGTCAGAAACCAGGAGACAGCATGGAAAAGGACAGATCATGGAAAACACCCAAAGACCTCTTCACATGTGTTTGAGCTCTTGCACAGTCAACTTATTTATTGACTTCAAATTGTGATATAATTCCAGAAGGGTATCACTGGATGAAAAAGCAATCTCAGACTGTGAAGGTAACTTTCATTTTTATCTGAACATTTCACTGGTCACATATTTATTTGCCATGAATAATTTAGCATAGTTAACAGCTCATGACAAATCTTTGGTGTTTCCAAAGCCACAGCCCTCAGCTGTGGCCCACAATGAAAAATGGGAATCTGCAGCTGCAAGGGTAAAATTGCAGAGTTTGGTTTAAACTAGGAAAAGCATTTCTCTCACAATACCTGTTATAGCATCAGTGTACAGGGTAGAGCCCCACAGCCACTGCTGAGTCAGTAACAGAAATACAACAGCAAAACCAGTCCTGATCCATAATTTTTAAGGAAAGGAATGTGCACCTTTCCAGTCATTACAGTTTCCACTGCTTATTATGCCACAAATTAAACTCTGTCCACATCAAGAGCAGGAACAAGGAGCTGTTTCCTTTGCATAGTGTTGACAAGTAATTTGATTCATATATTAATTTGGAATTGCCAAATGAGAAGTAGTTTAAGCAGCCTCCCAAACCTCTTCCTTTTCATTTCTCCTCATGCTTCAGTTTAGTGCTCTCAATGTGTCTGAGCAAAATGCTTCTATCTACAAGCTTCACTTTACAAACAATATCATCACCTGAAGAGCAGCTAAAAGATGCTAAAACACCTAAAACCAAAGGCATAGTGGCTATTTTCCAAAGCCTGCCAATAAACAAAACTTTAACAAACCAAATTGTGAAGGTATTTGTGTATAATACCTCAGGGGAAGAAAAAGGAGGGTGGGATGGAATGTTTTCTGTAGCTGAAGTTCAGGCAGAAGTTAAAAAGACAGTTCACCTCAGTTCACTATAAATAGAGGCTTCCAAGCAAAGACCTATCAGTGCAAAGCAAATTTGGGCACCAAAATGTACAGAATGTACCAAGGAAAGAACTGATTTATCAGGAGAGGAAAAGCTGGAGACACTGGTGGCTACCTGGGGACAGACAGGGAGCCATTTCTCTCCAGTGGCTGCTGGGGTGGCACAGATTTCCCTCCAACCTCACAGCACCAAGAACCAATACTGCAGCTCTGGCTGTGCTCCTTCACAGCCACAGTCCCTGAGTTTGGGAGGTGCTGCTGAGGGGCCTGGCAGTCCTGAGGATGGGCAGCAGAGAAGGGGGGTTCCCACACTCTTGGCAAGACCAGAATGACCAGATACTGAATTGTCTTTGAAAAGAGAATTCTCCTGCTCCCCTGCAGAATATTTCTCTAGAAGGACTTATTAAATCAAGCCAAAATACTCATTTTTGGAATATGGGAGGCCTCCATCCAATCTCTTGTGTGCCATCTCCAGGTGATCCCCTTTTGGGTAAGGGGAAGAGTTATATTGAGCTGTGTGATAGGAGGAACAGCCCTGCTGTGTATGCATAATTCAAACCCCATGGGCTTTCCTCCAAAACAGGGATGGGTTTTACTATCGTGAGATATTGTGATGAAGTATATAAGAACTTTAAATTACTGTGCAATGGATGCAGTATGAGAATTTTAGGCACTGACTTACTTCATTTCCAGTTTATATTTTTTCTTCCCTTTGAAGGTAGGGAGGTTCTCTGTTCTCTCAGGAAAGACAAAGCATGGCTAATGTTGGAAGATGGTGAGAGTACATTTTTCAGGTAAGTAGAACTCAGCTTGGAGCCTGATGTGCCCTTTGGCTGTTACTGTTTTGTGTCTGGACATACATGTTAGCCCCAAAGAACCCCTGGGCATTAAACTGCCATTTTTTAATGCTTATGTGGACTTGTGTGCAGACACTGGAACTTCTCTGCGGGCCACTCTGGGCTGTGAATATGCCTTTGAGAAGAGTCCTCCCAGCCAGGAATACAGCAAAATGTGGAGAGACCATATTCCACCGTACAAGGAATCCTGCTGGCAAGTCATGACATCTGAAATCAGGAGGCCTTTCAAAAAAAAGCTTTTTGCAGCTGTCATGTCTCTGGCCCATCTGCTTTGCCCATCATGATAAGCAATTTATCCATGATCTTGCCTTACTCATATCCCTGGAAAAAATTGCTGCTCTGTGCAGAGCGATCAGTTTCTCTTTCAAGTTTCAGCATGAAGTGCAAGGCTGTAAGCAGCAATATTGGGTACTCTGACTCATTCCCTTGGAAGGCTATTTTTATGATTGTTCATGGAACTATATCTTAAAACTCTCAGGCCACGTTCTTAAATCACTTTCACAGCTTTCTGCCGAGCCATCCCAGCGCAGCGGTTCTCCCCTCTGAGGTTACAGCCTCTCCAGGCTCTCTGCCCTCCCTCTGCAGCCTGAGAACCCAAAATGTTGGCTGAGGACCTCCTTCCTTCTCCTCACCTCGGTAAGTGGCTACAAGTCAGTGCCGTTTAAAATTTAATCAGTCTCGTCCTAACAGGACACAGTTCTTGGATTTTAACCCATCTTCTACACAAACCACTAAATTCAGCCACACTAACTGCCTCCTGACAGAACCTTTATCTCAAGAACCTCTTAATGAGCTCTCATTAGCACAAATTGGCCCTGAATATCTCACCACTTCCTATCTCCTGCTTTCTCTGCAATCCATTAGCATCTGTTAGCAGCCTCGTTTGAACAATTAAACTTTACGGTTTCTAGAAACACACAAGAAACACCAGGTTCTACTGTTAGACCTGTGACTTTGAGACCTGGGACGGGATTCACACGGCCCAGCTTAACAGAGCCCACATTCTACCTGCACTTCATTGTCCTCAGAGGAAGATTTAACACAGGTTGTTGATGTCACTGGTGACTCTGCCAGTCTCTGGATCACTCTCTTGGAGGTCCCCTGGAAAAGCACTAAAACTCGATGTCTGATGTTAAACAGCAAGAATCTACATCCTTTCCTCACAGCCCAGGGTCACGTTTCTTTGGCTGATCTCAGCACACAGCTTTGCCTTCTCCTCAGAGCTGATTTGCCACAGCTTTTTGTTGTCCTTGTTTATGTCCACCTTGAATGGCTCAAACTGCCCTAAGCAGCTGGATTTTCACAGTCATGAGACAACAAATTCTTATTTAACTGTGTTTCAACCACCAGCAGGCAAACTCAAACCATTCTAAGCCATTACAATGGGTCCTGAAAGTGTGCTCGTGGATTAAAGGCTTGAGGGGCCCTGGAGATGCTGGTCCCTGGCAGAGGATATGGACTCCATCCCTACTGAAATCAGCCCCAGCAGTAATTGTGTGGTGTGATGTGAATTGTTTTTCCTGTACTTGTCTGGTGACTGTGTTTAAAGTCCCCTGAGAACAAACAGATCAGAGATTTTACAGCTGCACAGAGCTTGTGCCTGAACATTAATGGCTACGTTGGCAAGCAGATGGGAGCTGGTCCTTCATACTCTTTCCCAAAGATGTACCATCTTTTCTTTTGACATTTTGATAGATCAGCAGATTCTCACTCTGTGTTATATTCCAGGCATGCAGCTGAGAGATGATTAATGCCTATGAAAGTGAAAACACTGCACCTTTATTCCTTATAAAAGTCTCTACTGTGTCACATCTTGTAGGATAACATCCAGAACAGGGAAACGGTGGCTCCATTCAAGTCTATTGCAAAACTCCTGGGGATAAAAGTCTCTCATTCATAAAGCTGTAAGCACACCTTACTATTTTTTAAAACTTTAATTAATGAAATGCTCTCAGGACGAGCCAGTGAGAGCAAAATCTCAACTTCAGCCTTCATCTGACCAAAAGTCTCTAATTTGCTGATACAGGTGTGAAGGTTTTTCTAGGACCACAGAGCAGAAACAGCCTGTTCCTTTCTCAGTGTAGGCTGCCATGTCACTCCTCGCCAAATTGAAAACCATTATGGAAATAGATCTTTATTTACTTGGGGTAAATAAAGATCTATTTCCATAATGGTTTACTTGGGGTAAATAAAGATCTATTTATTTTGGGGGTTTTTTCCCCATATGTTGTTTTAGAGATAATACTGATTTCCTGGCTCTCTTTCAGGCATACCCCACAGAGGGTTTCACCTTACAGATGTCATGTTCAGTAATAACGGATAATTTGCTAAAAAATTGACCTTAATGTTTTAAATTCGTTAGTTTCTGCTGCTCTTCAATGCTTTGGCTAAGTTCAGCAAGAGGCTGAGACGGCAAATTCAGTCCAGGTGCGGGGAAATGGCTTTGCGGGCTTTTCCCCGCTTGCTGAAGCGGCTCGGACACTTGGGAACGCGAGTTTAAGAGCGCAGCGCGGCTCTCCCGGGGGCTGTGCAGACTCGGCTCAAGCCCTGTAACTGCAGCAGCGCAAGTTGTTCCACAGGGGCCGGACCAGGCGCGGGTTTCGCTGCCCGGGGGCGCTCCCGGGGCCGGGGCGCTGGGAGCCTCGGCGGGCGGGCGGCGTCGGGCTGGGCGCTCCCCCATCACCGCAGCCCGCGCTCGCAGAGCCCCGCGGCAGCGCCCCCGCCCCGCCCGGCCCCGGCCCCGGCCCCGGCCCGGGGCGGCTCCCTTGGCTCGGCGCCGCTCGGTGCCGCCTGCCCGGAGCGCTGGGCTTTCCGCGCCGCCCGCCCGCCGCAGCGCAGCCCCATGTCCGCGCTCCCCGCCGGCGCCGACATCAAGCGGGCTCTGGAGAACAGCCCCGAGACCAACATCGAGGATGAGCTGCCCGACGAGCCGCCGCCGCCGCGGCCCAAGAACTACCTGCTCCTCAGCATCCTCTCCTGCTTCTGTCCCGCCTATCCCGTCAACATCGTCGCCTTCGTGTTCGCGGTCATGGTGAGTAGCGCCGCCGGCTCGTGCTCCGAGCGGCCCCGGCAGGGACAGGGGCACCAGCCGCCCTGGAGCCGCTTGCCCCGGAGCCTGCGGACACCGGGCGAGGCAGCGAGGCTGGGAGCATCCGCAGGCGCGGGCAGGGGGACCGCCGAGCTACCCCAGCAGCGATGGAAAGCGTGGAGTGAAAGGCAGCTTCCAACAAGTTTGCACTGTCAGGTGGCGGGTTTATTCCAGTTAGAGGGGTTTGTTGCATCAACTAAGGCGCACGCTGAACTGGACAGAGTATCTGTGTGAAAGTGTCAGCTGGAGAACAGAAATCAGATTTGGTTTCTGCTTTAGCTAATCAAATATAATAGGAGTGCCTTTTTTCCAGTAAACAGGCTCTTTGATACTATTTGTTAGAATAATACAGATGATGATAACGATTGTAGGTTGTTGGCAATTGCACGTGTAAATTGAGTATCAAACACACTGAGAGAACAGCCTTACTCCTACAATCTGAAATTGATACACGTTGTCCTTAATAAACCAGCAATCCCCTTAACTTCCAAAGGATTGTTGGAACAGAATCTCCTTCTCTGAGTTAAAAGTTGCAGAGTCAGATCCAGAGTTTTCTAGTCATATACATGATCGGTGTTATCAGTAACACTGCAATGTATTTCTGTTGTTTAGGAGCTGAAAAAGGTTTAAAACATGTTGTGTATTTTCATCCTTTTCTCTGACAGCCAAGCTGAGAAAGTAAGTAAAAATGTAGTTATTTCTTTCTGCATTTAAGTATAAGAATAGCTAGCTATGTCTAAAATATCCCAAAACACACTTTCGTAAAGTGTGATGAGTAAAGATTGATGAGAAATCACATTGCTAAACTACTATTCCAAAGCCATTGTTCAAGTCTTTTTTTTTTTTTTTGTAGTTAAGTGTTAGCTCTCTTTTTGTTTTTGTTTTGTTTTGGGGGGTTTTTTTGTTTTGTTTTTTTGGGTTTTTAAAAATTTTCTTCCTTCTGTGTTTATTTCCTTTGTTGTTACCTTAACTATACAAAATGCTTTTTTCCTTATTTTGAGAAGGTTTGGTTCTGCTGGTACTCAGCATCCTTTCTGTCCATGGACACTGAGGGTGCTATATAAAGTAATGAGAGCTGATGATCTGGGGCTGGGAGCGTCTGTTCCCTGTGACACTGCTTTCATCAAGGTGCTGGGGCTGTACAGAAGTTAACTGTCAAGGACAGAATTTGGCCTCTAAAGATTTTTGCACCCCATATGGAGAAATCTCCACCCCCGGCCTGGTTGAAGTTCATGCAGGCTTCTGGAGTCAGGCATCAGTAGCTGTTACCAGGGGGTTTGAAGGAACCAGGGTGGGAAGAGCACTTCCTGAATGCTGAACAGCCTGTGCAGGTCCCAGCTGCCCACTCCCTTACAGGGGGAAACAAAAACCAGACCAGTGACCTCCCCCGTCTGGGAATAGCTTCTGTTTCAACACATCCGACCTAAAACCTCTCCTTTTCTATAAAAATAGCATGTCCAACTTCTTTTCCACAGCCTGACCCCCCTGCCTTTCCAAGCTGCAACCTGTAACTGCTGCATTATCTTCAGCTGCAGGTTCTGCATTTTAGCCTGGGCTGGTTTTATTTCCACTTCTGCTGGGATCTGCGCCTTCCCTCCCTTTCTCAGCTGGAGCTGCTAAGGGTTAACACGGAATACAAGAGTGGGTTATTTTCTTTTCTTACAGAAGACACCTTTACAGTCTGCAGAGCTTACCTGAGACCTTGGGTCAGAATTAAAGACCCTCACAAGTGGATTTTCTACAAATTTCCACTTCATAAAATGGACCTAAAGGGAAAAGACCTACTGGCTTCTAGAGGGGGCATGGTTCAGCACCCTGTGTACCTGTGTCATGCCCTCCTTAACTGTTCTAAATTCAGACAATGTTTTCACTCTAAAAGTAGAGTCTGGGCTCTAACACACCCCCAAAATAAGTGACAGATTTGTCTTCAGTCTCTTCTGTCTCTTCTGCTGCCCCATTTACAACTCCAGCACTGGTTTCCTCACTCCTTTCTCACCTTTGGAGGCTCGAACTTCACCGTTACAGATCTTACCTCCTTTATTTTTAGAATAAACCTTTTGCAAGTTCTCCTTATTGCAATAATAACTTTCCTTGTTCCTTACCTGTCTTTTTCTCATGGCAGGGCTCAGAGGAGAGCTGGTAAAAAGGGCATTATTGCCATCACTGTGTTGCCATATTGGCATTACAAGAGGCCCCCTGGCCACTTGCAGGGTGAGCACTGCTCAGCATTTCTGGCAAATGGAGTTCTGCTTCCCCAGGACTCCTGGCTGTAGGATCACTGCTCTCAATACCCTTCTGCAGCCCCAGATGCCATCATTTCTGCTCCTTGTTGCTTCCAGCAGCTGTGTCACTGTGAGCAGCTGTGTCACACTGCTCTGCCATCAGTTGGCTCAGTCAGCCCCAGGGACACCTCCCTCAGCTCTGTCCTCTTGTTTCCCATACAAGTGTAATAACCACAGGCAAGAGTTTGGGGGCAGGACCAGGTCAGGAGGCTTCTGTGGCTCAGGAGATTTCTCTGGTGTGGGGCTGGGGCTGGGGCACTGTGTCACTGAGCTCTTTGGCTCCTTCTCTGCAGTGGTGAGCCCAAAGAGCCCTCAGTGAGCTGCCTGCTGTGCCCGAGACATGGCTGGGGTGGACTGGCTGTGTCTGTCTGGCTCATGGGGGCAGAGCTAGAGGGAGGCTGTGGAATAACTCTGGGAAATGAATCAGATATTTTCAATGCCAGCAATGAGGTCTGACAATTGAACACGTTTTGTTGGCCCTTCTCATTACCCTCCTTCAGCTGTCTTCATTTCAGAGATCTCTGTGTCAGACTAGTTCTGTAATTCCATAGGGCTTTACGTTTGTAACAACCTCCAAACAGTCTCTCCAAAGCTATTTCTCACTGATTTTTGCTCCAAAGTCCCTCTTGCTGTTGACACATTTTGTTTAATCATTTCCATGCTTCAAACAACATATGTGGTCAAGCTGTGACAATCTTGGCTCATCTGCCTCTGATAGTAACAAGTTCTTTGTCTGCATTTGTTGCTGTTGGATTCAGATGCCTTGTCTTTATATGGGCTTCCCTAAGCAGAGACAACAAATTAGAGGGTGGTGGAAGCCTTGGGGACAGGAAAGGATGGATCTTGCTTTCTCACCTCTTTTAATTGGGATCCTAATGAGCCATGTGCAGTGTGTTGGCTGTGGCCAGCTCAGTGACCAGCAGTGACCAATGTTTCTGTATTTAGAAAGTTTACTTGCAGAGTTTACTATTTATACACCCCTTGTTAGGTAGCTTGTAGGTACCTGGATATCTAACACCATATGGGACAGCCTGTACCCGCTTCAGGAATATTAAACAGCGTATTTAATATTCAGGAATATTAAACAGCAGGGCTCAGCAGCTGCTGTTAAGGCATTTTTGCATGGCCCTGCCTTTGCAAACTGGTAGATTTTTGTTTTTCCTCAGCAGCACCCTGCAGAGCCAGCTCCCCTTTCACTCCCCTGCTCAGCACCTGCCTGTTCTGAACTGCTCCCCAAGTGCCCCCTCTCCTTTGTGTTTCCCTGGGAGCTGTTCCTACAGTGAGGAGTCACCCTGAGTCAGCAGGTCTGGTTCTTCCTTAGCTCTGAACTAGAGAGTGTCTCCTTTCCAGGCACAGCCAATTAAGGTTCACCCAGCCTGGCTTACAGAGCCTAGAAAATACTGATCAGAGAACCTCAGTCTGCTCTGCCCAGATCTGTAACAAAAGTAGAGGAAGATTTCTGAAGTAACTCAGTGTTCTTTCATGGTTTTGCCATGGTCAGTGCTCTGGGAGTGTGGAACAGAAAATACACATAAAAAGGGATTAATATTTTATAGCTAATTCAGCACATTTCTGTTCACATGAGGTTAAGTCACTTTATTGTTGAACTGAGAATGTTTTATAAATAGATGTGTGTGAACCTGGTGAAGTCACTGAGATTACTCAAGTAAATAAACAGCTGCAGAACTGTGGCTTTAATTTACATTATGACTTCATAGCCAGTGAGGTAGCAGAAACCTGAGAAATCATATGGTGTTAGGCTGAAAAGGGCTGAAATTTGTTTTAAAAGTTGGACAGACCAAATGCCTCATACAGATGCTGTGTTCTCAATATATTGCCAAGCCCTTGGAAATAAATAGATGTAACAGTTAAAGCTTTAACAGTTGTTGTTATCTCTATCTAATATTGAAAACTGGAAACTTGACCAGGAGCCCTTTGAAGCAGATGGAAGTAATGAATTTCAGAAAGCTTTACATCAGACCCCAACCACTCCCTCAAACCTCTTATTTTTTTATTGAATGCTTTCTAAGTTATTTCATTTAATTTAAACCTCTTCATAGAGAAACTTTGGTCTCCTTCCTGACTCTCCCAAATCCTATTCTTTATCGTTAATGTTGTTTTCCTCCTCTTCATCGTGGATTTATATTAAAATGGCATTATTTATTAAAGTTTGCACAGTGAATTATTTATGCAGTACCTGCAGAAATCACATGGACATTTTCCAGACTTCCTAAATACATTAGTAAAATGGCCCAGAACTGCAAGCTGATGCTGTCAGGGCTTGCTTACAACTCTGTCTCACTTTTGAGACCACAAGCCTGGGGAGCTGAGTCGATGGTGTCTGCAGAACCCCCCTGCAGATGCCGTGCAAGGGGAGTGCTTTGATAAGAGGTGAGCACAAAGTCAGGGCCAGGGTGTCTGTGCTGCTTCTCTGTGTTTCCCCCTGCAGCCACAGTGGCATTGGTGGGTGTTGGCACACACAGGAGGAGGTCAGTCTGCTCAAGGCCAGCTGAGCTGTGTTTCTCCTCATAATCCTTTTAAAGACCTTTCCAAATGTACTTGGAGAAAGCTCTTCTGCAGCCAGGACTGCTGGGGACAGTGGAGTGGCTTTGGTGACAGGACAGTGCCAGCCCCTTTGTAGCAGGGTCAGGGCTGGCACTGTCCTGTCTGACCATGTGCTCCTGTCCATCTCTCACTTCCATCTCTTCCCTCTTTCCCCATTATGTGCTTTCCAGCCTCAATGAAAGCTGACAGCAGAGCAGAGGTTTTAGTGAAATTCTTTGGGGACACAAACCAGAGAAATGTTTAGGCATGTGGGCTTCCAGGAAGGGAAGAAATGTATCAGTGCTCTCTTTAAGGACATGAGTGCATCAGCATCTCAGCCTTTTGTAGGCTCCAGAGAATAAGTACCTGCACTTATCCTTGAGATGCAGTTCAAGGAATGCAGGCTGTGTTGCTTTGGGACTGTCTGGGCTGGGCTGATGCTCCTGCAGTGCTGACACCACGGGTGCACCCAGCCCATTAGCTCTGTGTGCCCACTAATTGACACAGCACACACATCATGCCCCTCATTGCTTTCCTGCTTGGGAGAAATGGCTCTACAGCAGTGCTTGGTGTGCTCTGAACTTCATCCCTTTCCTGCCCTCCACAGTCTCAGCTCTTCACTCTGTTGTTCTGTTTGCTGCAAAAAGTGATTTGTAGCTGAAGCACTTTCATTTTGGCACTTGGTGGTACCTCATACAGTCGTTTTCCAGAGACAATCTGAATTCTCTAGTCCAGAGAGCAGTTAATTTGATCAGGTCCTCATATCTCTCCCCCTACTCTTCCCATTTCTCTGATACCTCCTGAAATATATACAAGATACTAAAAACCGTGTTGTGACTAATCTGATTCCCTGAGGAAGTATGCTGAGTTCAATAGTGAAATCTGATCTAGAAATCTGGACTCAGTGTTGTGGCTTATGAACTCAAACTCTCACGATTTTACAAAAAAATTCTTAGGAATAATGCCCTTTTTAATGCTTTGATAGCATCTCATTCTTGGGAAAAAATTCTACAAACCGTGTTTAGACTCGTATACTACAGTATTTTGTGTGGTTCTCCTTTAAAATGGTTTGGTTAAACCAAAAATTAATTCAGAAAATCCTATAGTCTGTCTCACAAAAGCCTCAAAGGTCAGAGTGGTCCTATCACACATTGCAATCTGAGCATGTCATGAATGTACAGCATCTGCTAAGCCATGGGTGGGTAGAGAGAAACTCTAGTCTCGTGAGATAATATGGGGATATCTGATGCACACCTCAGGATGGATATGATCATAATTATCAGTGTCTATGATCATAATTATCAGTGTCTTCCAGAATGCAAAGGAAATGCAACTTCTAGCCCATCAGGATGGCACTCAGATGTTTTGTTCAGATGCCCTATATTTCTTCAGTTTGTATTTTTCCCACCACTAGCAAACTACCTATTAATTCTTCAAACTTTGTTTGGAAAAGTAAAATATTGGAAAAATAGGTAATTAGTAAGATTTTTAAAGTTTTGCTGAGACTTTCTCTAAAAATGCAGCCTGTTTATGCTCTTTTTTATGCTTATATCTTATAAAGCATAAGAATTTATCTCACTGCTAGTGAAGTGGCCAACTAACAATTCCCATATACTACAAAACTATTTCCAAAGATAAAAGCCACTGGTTTGTGCAAGTTTGTTGATGTTGGTTTGACAGCTTTTATGCTGGTGTGTGTGGGATTTTTTGGGTCCCACGTCATTGGGAGGAAAGATGAATCTGACTCCATGTTCTTAGAAGGATAATTTATTATTTTATGGTATTATATTAAAGAATACTATACTAAACTATACTAAAGAATATAGAGAGGATATTTACAGAAGGATAGAAGATACTAATGAAAAACTTGTGACTCTCTCCAGAGCCTCAACACAGCTGGCTGTGATTAGCTATTAAGTTAAAACAATTCACATATTGGATAAACAATCTCCAAAAAACATCCCAAAGCAGCAAAACACAGGAGAAGCAAATCAGATAATTATTGTTTTCTTTTTTCTCTGAGGCTTCTCAGCTTCCCAGGAGAAGAATCCTGGGCAAGGGAATTTTTCAGAAAATATTACAGTGTCAGGTGTGTATCAAATAAACAAAGCCCACCACTGAACAAAAAAAAACCCCAAACAACACAACAAACAAACAAACCCCAAACAAACAAACAAAAAAAAAGCTGTAGCTTCAATGAAAGGTACGGAAAATTGTCAGCAATGGAGAGAGATGGGGAGACTGACTTGGTCATCAGAATTCAATTTTATTGTGGGATACAAACGCTTATATACTATTTCAGGGAGACTAGTAATGTTTACTACAACGATTAGGTTAAAATCACATACACAAAGTTGCACATATAGGAACATATCTTGCTTGCAGAGTTTAATGGGATTTTCTTTCTGGTAAACCCCTTTGATTTAATCTTCTTGCAATCCAGGTCTAATTTTCAAAGTTCTGTTTGCTTTTGCCAAAGCATCCTGTTATCAAATCTCTTATGTTTACCAGGTCCAAAGTCCATCATCTGTCCTGTGTCCCCCAACATTCCAACAGAAAATGACTGGAACAGAAAATTGGACTCCCTGCTTACCTTGGCTGTGGGCATTGATTTGTTCTGTTGGTTCAGCGCTGCTGTGCTGCTTTGCCAACAGGTTTGTGTTTGAGGGGCAGAGTGTGATTCCCTGTTTTTCCCCTGCAGGCCCTGAACAGCTACAACCAGGGGGACATAGAAGGCTCCAAGCGGCTGGGTCGCAACGCGCTCTGGGTGGCCGTGGCCTCCATCATCATCGGCCTCGTCATCATCGGCATCTACTGCGCGGTTCACTTCACCACGGTGAGCAGGGGCTCCCACAGCCCTCCCTCGAGGCACTGAGGGCTGCCACAGCCCCCTCTCCTTATCTATCCAGGGATGCATGTATGCTTTCCAAAAGGATGTTATTGTATTCTACGCCTTAGAAAATTCTGTTGTCTGTGGCTAAACACAAGCGGCTCTGTCTTGGCAGCAGGTGGTTTTCTAGAAACTCTTGCAGCTCCAATTTGTTTTTCCTATTTTGGCCAGTTGCTTTTTGGTTTTGTCCTCCTCAGCTTCACCATCTTTCATACCAAGTGACCTGAGATTTTTAAATTTCAGGTAACAGAGTCCCCAGGTGCTAGTTTTCAGTCTCATGGTCTGGCCAACTGATCTTTTAGCTCTGCAAGGAGGAGACAACAGTCAGTTACTCCTCTACTGTTTGACAGTAAAATAGATGACCAGAACTATATCAAAAGTGGTCAAAAATGTCATTCTGACTTGTGTCTCTGTGGAGTAAGGCCCTTCACTCTCCACGCTGTGTTACTGTCCTCCCACACCTGCAATAATAGAAACAAACAAATGAATCTCTGGGGTTACCCAAATGGATTACTGGAAAAGAGAACAAAAGCTATTGAGGGTATTGATAATCTTTCTTAAGGCTGTGCAACAGTGTGTTCTTTTCTCCACAGTACTGTGCACTTCCCATTAAAATAACCAATTTAAATGAATTTATTATTGGCTGGTTTGGTTGGAGGGCATTTCAGTGCACTGTACAAACTTATGCATAAGCTATAAACAGAGAACACCCCATTTACCACTGAAATGAAGACATCTCTGGGGAGTGGAATGCAGTAACTGGTTAAACATGTACAGCATTTTCATACAAAAACTGAAATACAACATATTGAGCTGCAGGGAAGTTACTGGACAGGGGGTACGGCTCTGTGGGACATTATTAGATGTTGTTTCAGACTCTAAGTGTCCTGTGCATTCATTAATTTTCTGTGCATTTTGCAAGCAGGAGTCTTGTTCAGCTTGTGTTCAGCTCATTCAGCACTGGCAGATTCAAACCCAAGGCTCTTCAGGCTGGGGGTGCCAAGTTTTGTAATTGACAGCAGCAGTAAATTCCACCTCCTTACTCATCATTTCTCAGGCAAGGAGAGCAGCTCAGTTATTTTTTCAAAGTAGGGGAGGGAAGGGCAGTGTGAGGAATGGCAGACAGCACTGGCCAGAAGCATTCACAGTGACCAGGCAGCAGCAAACCAGTATAATACAACTTCGTTTTTCCTTTGAGGACTTTTTAATTTGATTTTGGTTCTGGGAGGTTTTTTTTAAGAGAAAACTCTCTGTTGGGTAGAAGCTGCCTGGGAACCCTCAGAACACTGCTGGGATATTAATTTCTGTACATAGTTTCCACAGAGCTTTCTTGGCCAAATGGTACCATGACTTTTGTGAGGAGTCCAGGTTCGCTGGATTCACTCTGCTCTCTGCCCCTCCAGCCTCTTCACTGCTCCCCTTCTCCCTCTCACTTGTCACCCTCCAAAGAGCCTTTGCTTCTACGAAAGGATTTGATGGCAGCAACAATCTTTTGATGTGAAAATGAGTGAAGAGAAGCACCCAGCTGGTCTTTCCACTCTCCATGCTTACCTGGGTCCCCTCTGTTGCCTTACTCTTGGATGTTTTTACTTTATACTAAATTGTTTTAGTCTGACATTCCACTGCTAAGAATGGCTTTGCACATTCCATTCAGTGACCTCACACCCATTTGTGCCTTTCTTATGATTATTTACTGACAGCCACTCTGCTGGAGTGATTGTTAAAATAATTCTGTGCTAACTTTAATACATGTTTCAATATTAGTAAGGTAGCATAAAATAGCCTTGATACAATAATATGGCAGATTTATTTGATCACCATTAAGCACAGATTTAATGTTTCCATGACCTACACATGCATTTTTCCTGGAAGTTAGACTTCAGCAATACGGAGGAAAACCTTGACGCTTCCAAGATTAATTCCCGTTCTTTATCCACCTGAAATTAATCAGATACCACAGTTCTTCCTGCTGGCATTCCTTGTGGCTTCTTTTGGTCTTCAAGGGATAACAAATCTCACTGCAAATTACCTTGGGGAGATACTGCTGCCAGTATCAAAGATGCAAAGTGTGCTGAGAACTTGAGTTCTCTTCTACAACATCCAGCCTCTGAGAGGCAACAAAAATGAGACATCCAAGTCAGGTTGGCAGGGGGGAATCTCTACCAATTGTTACACAACTTTTCTTATAGGTACAGGAACTTGAGTCAGGCTCAGCTGGCTCTGAAGCCTCCTTCAAAACAACTCCACATGTCTCAGCCAGGAGAAAAATATCCAGTCAGGTGTGTTGAGGGCAGAAATGGTAGAAGTTGCAGAGAGAGGAAGAGCAGGAAATTCCTGCTTTGAGCTAACAATGATTTTATACCACCAATAATACTCCCAAATGTAGCCCCAATAATAGTGCCAGGCTTGGGAAGAGGAAGACCCTTTCACTTTTCAGCAAACCCTCCCTTCCAAGTGTCCTCATGTGCCTTCCTTGGTTGGTTCAGTCACAGAGCAGCAGTGGCACAGGAATAACAGCAGCCAACACCTACACATCTACTGCAGGGAAAAAACAGCCTTGACTTCTCATTTTGAGGATTTACTCAGAGCTAAGTCAGCTTGGGGCTTCTCCTGCTGCCTTGGAGAGCCTCATTTGTCTCAAACACTGGCATGTTATCTTTAGCTAACATATATTAAGATATGTAGTGATACATATTTATATCCTGGAGCAGGGCCCACCCAACACTTGGGAACCATCTATGATCTGCAGCCATGGCCCTAAGTGTAGGCAAGGGGAAGCCATCACTTGCATCACTGGAGCTGACAGCCCAGCAATGAAACCTGTGTGTCCTGATCAGTGTGAAGTGGCATGTCCCTCCTCCTGCTGAGGGCTCTGAGTGCAGAGCTGTGCTGTGTGTGAGATCAGGGCTGGGCCTCGTTCCACACTGGGCCAAATTTATCCTTACTCTTCCCCATTTGCTTTTAGCCTCCCCTGTCAGCTTCCCCTGTGCCCCTGCCTTGCCAGTCCCGAGGGCTGAGTTACATTTCCAGGGCTTGCTCAGATGTAACTTTAGCTGGCATTTGTGTCACCACAGTCTGGCCCTGCATGTGTGCCTCAGGCATGTTGTCCATCAAGGACTGCAGTGAGAAATGCGATGTATTTGCCTTCCCTGACCTGGAGCAGGGCAGGGCTGTGTGCCACAGCCTGTGTGTGCCATACTCTGTTTGCTCCCACCCAGTGCCCCTGTTCTCATCATGCTCCTCTCAGAAACTTTCCCCCAGACTTGCACAGGCTTGCAGTCAGCCTTCCCACCTCTGGGCATTTTGTTCAGCAAAAGGTGGTGATTTTGTCAGTCAGTGAGGGCTCTCAAGTCATTTACAATCTGTTTTCAGAGCAGCACCAATGTTTTTGAAGCAGATTCCAAATTCTGTTTTGGTTTGGGTTTTGCTGACATGAGACACCCTTGGGTTACATTTGAGCTCTGCTGGCAGGGTTTAGGGACACAAAAGCCTGGGGTGGATCCGCCTTACTTAAGTGAAGGAGATCCTAGATATCCCAAACCCTATTCTTAAATGTATCTAAACATGTCATATTCTACTTCAGGCTGCCATGTGAGTAGTTCAGAACAATATTCAGCTCCTCACAGCACATTACCAGACCACCTCTAGTGTCTGAGTGACACTTTGCAGTGCTGCTCACATGAGTTTTGCCACCCAGCTGAGCCACGAGGCATTTCATATACAGCCCACATCTTCTGTGCTCCTCTCTTGTGGACTTCTGCAGTCTGGACAAGTAGGAGTGAGCCAAGCAGAAATGTGGAGGGTGAATGAGAGGTGTTAGAGAGAAGTAAAAACTCCCAGTAGACTGAGACAGCAACAGTTTTGCTCTGAGGAAGGAAGCCAAAACGCTGTGAGTTTGGAATTTTATGCAAACCATTATGGTATTTCAGTGCTTTCGTAGAGGAGCCTGAACTTCTGACCCCTTCTTTAATCTCCCTTGATTTAGAACTTCACCCCAGGGAAGCCACAGAAATGCCACCTGTCAGCATGGCTTCCAAGGAACACAGAGCCAGCCAGGCTGTGAGGAAAGCACCAGCTTGCACTGCTCAGAATCAGAAGGGTTTTAAATCAAGCTCGTGTGCAGTAATGCAGCATTGGTAATTCCAGGTAGAAGGAAAAGGAGAAGTGTTTAGACTGTGCACCAGGGACAGATGTACACATACAGTTTCCTCACTGACTTAGAAGTAATTCTTCAGGAGGAAAAGGAGTGCAGGTTTATTTTTAGTATCTGTGCTGTCCTGTTCCTGAAGCTCTCAGAAGCCTTGCAGACATTCCACTCAGTGCCTGCCTGTCTTTCAGAGACAGGACAAGCTGAAGACCAGCACGAGGACAGGGATTACTCAGCCAGCCTCCAGATCTTTACACTGCCCATCCTGTCCTCTGCACCTTACCATAAAAATAAACGAGTCAGGGTCTTGTGCTGCAGGGACTGGCCTGCCAGTAAGGGACAGAGCTCCAAGCCTGAACTCAGGGCATTCCTGCTCTATAATTCTTGGTGTCCACCCAGCCAGAGAGCTCATACTGCTGCTTTTCTATTGTAAGGGCACATACTCGTTATTTCCTTGATCCTTACCTTGTTTCACTGGATTTGTGAAAGTACAGGAGCCTAAAGTCCTCTACATCTCTCTCAAAGTGTTCCCTCCCTCAGCTGGAAGGCTGAGCAGTGGCACAGTGTGCAGGTGCACAGACAATGTGGTTACATCAGCCTGACTTCCTTAGCAAAACACATGAAAAATCCTGGTCCAGAAGGAGCTGTTTCATCTGTGCACAGAGGAGATGTTCCCACAATGGATTCTACTCAGTGGAGCCATGAGTAGCATCCAAGAGACAGTCAGCAAAGTCATCAATGCTGTCTGCAGGATATATTTATTGGGCAGTGCCTTGGGTCCCAAATCCCTCCTTGAGGAGCTGCTAGAATGTATCTGCCTGATGAGGAGATCCCTCAGGCTCCAGCAGAACCCAGAATCCAGAGATATTTCAGGGCATCCATGGCTATTGTCTGAGAGCTTTCCCCTGCACAGGAATTTGAGGGAACTCCTCAGATCTTTGCTCTCCTAGTGCACATGCACAGGACAGGTTTCCCAGTCCTTTTAAAGCATGTTGTGTGTAACTGTGGGATTTTCCAAGTTCTCCACTGCTGGAGGGTTGTTCTTGTCTGACTGCTTTATGTACCACTCCAAGGAAGCAGAGAAGCTGTTGACCTCATGAATCTTTGTCAGGTGAGAGCCCATTTCCTGGAATGGAAGGCCCTGATTTGCATTGATTCAGGTAACCCAGTTTAAAAATTCAGTTCGGATTGACAGATGACCAATGCCATTAGAAACTCAGCTCTTTGACTCAAAACTGTGTTGAGCTGCTAGTCTAGAGGGATGTTTGTTAAGAGAACAAGTACCACTAATGTGGCATAATGTATCCATTAGATCTGTAGAATTAATAATTTAAACTCACAGGGCAAACTCTCTGTCTTCTCCTCCTTTAAACACACATATTTCTGTGTTCTTGCAGCATGCTATCTGAAGACCAGGACTGCACTTGGATGATATCAACATGTAAACCTCTGGAGGGGGAAAAAGAAGAGATGGAAACCATTCCAGACTGTTAGCTCTGACCCTACACATCTGCAGAGGCATGTTGCTGGTGAATGAACTGATAGCCCAGTTAGTTAATCAGCATGGCGTGACCAGGTTTTCAAAACTATTTATTTATAAGACATCTCAGTATAAAGCAGCATTTTTTTCTTTTACCCTAATGTATAATGAGATCTTGCCCTAAAACAAAAATCCCTTTTCTTTCTCTTTTCCATGGAATGTATGCTGGATCTGTGATGTTCCCTGGCTGACCCCAGCCAGACAAAGCCAACATATCCAGACTGTTTATGGTGCACAGTGTAAGATCTGATGCACAGCCCACTGAAGCTAGTAGGAGAACTCCTGTTACTTCTGGCAGATTTTGGATCAGGCCATTAAGGACTTTTTCATTACTTTAAAATAGTCTCAACATGACACAACTGTACCCATGGGTTTGTGATTTTACCCTGCTCTGTGATTTTATAATGCCGTGGGCGCACTCTGACTCAGCAGCTGCTTTCTTTTGTCATCCTCAGCTTTTAGAACTTTACCTTGGATTTTTAAACACCTGGGACCGATTTCAATCACTTGATTATTAAGAGAGACTCTTGTTCCATTGCATCCATGTTTTTCTTAATAATTTATTTTTGTTTTGTTGTCTTTCATTGTTGCACTCCCTTGACTTAGCTCCTGTCCCGCATTAAATTTGCACTGATCGTATTTTCCTCTTTAAACCTCACATATGTAAAAAGTTCCTATTTTTTTATCTGACAAAAGATCTTCTTTTTAAACAGATGTCCTTCATCCCTTTGTTGTTGTGCTTCCAGCAAGGCACATCGTTTCATTGTGTTCTGCTTTGTTCATGTGGGTTTTGTTTGGCTCATCCTCTCATCTCTGTGACTGGTCTGTGTATCACTGCAGTTAGAGATGGACAGACTTCTGCACCTCTGCCTAGTTACAGACACACTTCCTCATCCTTACACACTACTCAGCAAGCAGCCTCAGGTTCCAGAATTGATGGCCTCTAAATTACTGCAGTTTCTTGATACCTTGTGAAAATCTAGCATGGGACAGCTGTTTTTATTAGCTGTTTCACAGAATGCAATTCTTTTGTCACACAAATATTCCATGTTAAAAGGAGTGAGCTCTGGTGAGCATTAAGATGTGGCTGCACCCTCAGCAGCTGCTGCTCTGCTTTATTATCACACCTTCAAGAGAGCTGTGCCAACTTCCACTCCCTCTCCCTGCACCAACATCAACCTGGAGCGACTGCCCAGAAATCCAGGGAGCTCTGCAGGTGCAAGTGAGACAAGAATCATCTGTCAGGAGTTCAACAGCCTATTAAAAACAAACAAAAAAAATCCTCCCAGAAACCTTTACCTGTTAAAGCATATGCCTGGAAGTAGCATGTATTTTTGTGCCTTGATATTATATTTTCAATGTGCTTTTTCGCTTTCCTTCCTGCCAAATTCTGTTTTTCATTGAAGTCAGTGAAGCATTACTTCTCCTTAATTCCTGCAGTATTAAACTTCACAAACACTGGTGAAGTCAGCTGATTTATTAAACATTTACACTGATCAGATTTGTCCACATGGGAATCTTGCCACTGATTTCGATGATCCCAAGAATTGGCTGTTCTGTGAACTCCTTTTTGGTTTTTGAATACTATTTTAATGGTCTGATATGTCTTGTGGGACTTTTAGTAGCTTGCCTTATTATCAGATATGATAGAAATGTCATTGACAAGTGGAATAAAATTACTTTTAATTCATGTCTATTCTGGTATGTGGGAAGTGTTTTTCCTAAATTTTGTTGCCTCTTCCACTGGAAAGAGTAATATCCCTTTTTCTAAGCCCTTGGACAGTTTCAGAATGAGGTGAATCACAGCAAAAGGAGGTTTCCAAAGTTATGTGGGCACCAGAGGATAGGGATAGGCAACTTGAAGTATTTTTTAAACTGCCTGACAAGGGTTGAGATCAATAGGAGCTAGACACCCGACTCGTTCAGAAGCTTTTGAAAACCATACTGGAAATCTAACTTGCATCTTGTTCCTCATAAATATCTTTGAAGTCTCACTCTTAATACAATTGAGAATTGAGCCATTGTACCTTCAGTGCTTCTGAAGATAAATGTTGGTACCTTACAGTGCTATTGATTGGTATAAAAATAAAGGCTTTATATTAAACCACTTAATGTGACAGAGAGGAGAGAATGCAGCAATTCCTCTAATGTCCTTAGTGCTTCTGTGTCATAGGTAATCTTATTTTTGCTTTACTAATGTATTGGTATTGGTTCTCTTCATTTATTTATGTTTACATAAATTTTCAACCATGTTTGGGAAGTGCAGCTTGTGCTGGAAAGAGGTCTGGTCATTGCACAACCACATTGTTCTGATGTGTGGCAGAGACATCCCAAAGCAGGCTGCATAAATGACATTTCAGTGGCCAAATCAGCAAGGCCCTAGTGCCAGCAGTGGGTGTGGAAGGCGGAATGCAGGTGGCTGACTGAGGAATTTGTGCCTGCTCCATATTTAGAGGGGCATGTATACAAATTCCATTATCTCTGACAGTTCTGGAAATTCATTGTCACACATCTAGATTTGGATTTGATCCATTATTCTGCATTGGACCCTCCTTTTTTGGTAGGAAAAAACCCCTGTTATAATATATATGTGCTGAATGATGTTATTTGATGAAACATCAGAGGGAGGTGGGAAGCAGTAAGATGTATTTCAACTCAACATCTGTGTCCTGGGTGCATGAACAGAGTCTTCCTTCTGCAAAGCTGCTTCAGGCTTCCATTTTTTGGACACGGTGTCCTCGCACACTGAAGGCACCAACTAATGCCTCAAGTGCAGCTCCCTTTTCTTTCCTGAACATATTACAGGCAGAGACAGATGGCAACTTGAAATTGCTGGCCTCAGCTCCTGGATCATGTTGGCACCTTTGGCTTCTTACAAGGCAGCTGCATTCTGCAAAACAGCCCAGTGCACGTATCTTGATATGTAACCCTAGAAGAGGCTTCTAAATATAAGTGGGGGTTCTTTGCTGCTGTATGAAGGGGGTCAGCCAGACACTCAAAAGGTGGTGTAAGTTTCTTCAGATTGCACAAAAAACAAATTATCTTGGGGATAATATGAAATTAAATTCTTGGGGTGCCTTCCTGCAGGCACAGCCAGGGGTTTACAGCTTTCCCCTGAAGATCAGCACTGGCTCTTCAATTTATGTGGTTGCAGCCAGGATCCAGGAGTGGTGAGGCTCCAGAAGTTGTAGCTTTTGGACCTCTATCTTTGGATATGTGCTCACAGTGTGTTCTGCCTCTCAGCCTGGAAATAGGTTGTATCTGGTTGCTGCCACAGTGTCCCTCACTCTCAGCATCTATTCAGGTGCCTCTGCTGAAACAGTGGGCAAACATCTCTCTCTAGGCTAATTTCCTCTCCTGCACCCTAACTTGATCTGCCAGTTATTTATTTCTGATTGCCTCAGAAGAGGGAAGATGGAGTCATCTCCCCCATTAGCTTTACTTTGTGTATGCACACATGCAAGAAGAGTTGAAGGGTTGAATTCCCAAAGGCCAGTAAGATCTAAATACAAGGAAAGTCACTGGATTGATGGGGGCCAAGCTGGTTAGAAGCATCCTGGTTACCTGACAGCTGCTCAGGAGCCTTTGTGGAAGGTGGAGTCCATATCACCATACCTTGAACAGATGTGGAACCTACCCTGGCTTTGTAGGAGATAGCTCCAGGCAAGGCTGGAGCCCTCAGGGCTCTGCAGAGCTGCTGCCTGACCCCCACCTTTCTGAGACAGCCCTCAGTCTCCACAGGCAGCACCTTCAGGCTCAAAAACTACCTAAATGTTGGTTTCCTCTTACAATCCTCCCCCCTCCAACCTCATTTTGATTTAGCAGGTCTCAGGAGGTGTGCAGTGTGGGAGCAGAGGAGGGATGCAGTGGTGTGTGAGGGATTTCTTCTGTGCACTCCCAGTTTTCCATTTCCAACCACAGCAGCACGTTCTGCAGCTCAGCAGGACACGTGTCCCTGAGAGGGGACTGAGCCTCTGGGAGGCTGCCCAACCTCCTCTGCTGCACTCCCTGCCAGCCTAAGGGGGCTAAACCCACAAGTCACCTAAAAGGAGGGGGCCTGCAAACATCAATCAGCCACTGCAAAGATGGAAGAATAAATTTGGGACTCCAAGACAGCAAGAAATTTACCCTGTCTGGAACTCTGGGTAAGTTCTGTTCTGCTCCCACACAGCTCACTCTCCACAGCACTCAAGCTGCAAGAAGCACTTGCTCATGTGTCCTTTATAATGTGATTTATGGCATGTGTGAATCTGATCTCCCAGCTCACGTCTGAGGATGGCTCCTCTGCGTTTGTCATCTCTCGCTGGAGGGCTGAGTCAGCTTCCACACCACTTGCAGTGACTTCTCTCTTGCTAAATAAGCTTGCATCATGTCAAGGGAAAAGAACTTTGCCAGATTTCAATGGATTCTTCAGGACTTTGAACTGCACAGCATGAGGCTGAAGGCATTTCTTTTTTGACACCTACTCTGAGGTAAGAGAAGGAGAAACTCCACTGGAAGTGAAGTATCCAGACCAAAGCAGGCTCTGTGGTTATGGTGAGCTGTGGCAGCCTCATGTTCACTTTTCAACCAGTATTCAGTGGGGGCTCAATTGCCTTTTGATTTTAATCAAATAATAAGAGATATAGTCCAAACAGTGAAAATGAGAGATTCTGGCCTAGAGCATGGTGTTTGGTGAGTTCCATCCCTTACTTCTGTGCCTGAAAAGCTTGTAAGGGTCACTCTTCACTCCATCTAATCCAAGACATGCATTCCCCTAACACAGGTCTGTCCTGACCTCACACCTCTCCTCTTTGGTCCTTCCTCTCTTTTAAAATGAGTCAGCTGATAGAGAGGGATGGTAAGTGATATCTCCAAGGGGGTAGAGTGACTCAGTAGCAAAGATGTCACTTCATTTGACCCCTCAGCCTGTACAGCACCCAAAGTGCTCTGTAATGATTCCCAGAACTTTGACCAGCTCTGCTGAGTCTCGTCATTTTAAGAGCCAATAACCAAACTGCCTTAAAATTAACTTCTGACTAAGAAGATTTAATAGTCAGGCCAGGTCTAGCTCATGTTTACTAAAAAAGGTTGGTGTGAGGGGAGGAAAAAGGAGCTGAGCTTTGCTTGTGGCTACTGAATGGCAACTAACAGAGACCACACAGCTCCTCATATCCTGCAGGTCTTTTACAAGCCTCTGCTTTTAAAACCTCACATTGTCCTAGGAGGTGTTGTGGCACAGTCATGACACCAGATGAAGCATTTCATCTATTATTTTGATCTTGTTTTATGGGCTATGAACAGTCTGAAAGAGAATTTTGGTTTTGTTTGTTTGTTTTGGGGATATTTTGTTTGTTTTTTTAAGGGAATTTCTTATTCAGAATTAGTCACTTGTGTTTTCCCCTGGTCTTTTTACCCCAACAGGGGCAGAGGTAGAAAAGATATTTTGTAGTGTTCCTTTGGAATGTGGAGGCTGGTTCAGATGGGGTGGAACAGGGGGAGTTTTTATGCCCTTCAAGCTGCAGAGCATAAAAGGAGTCAAAAGTCACAGATGCTGTTAAAGGGAGGAGCAGAACTTCAGGGTTCCAGAGAATCAGTGGGAGGCTGAGCTCTGCCAGGCCCTGTGGCTTGTCTTTAGCTAATCCCTCACTTCCCACATCTCCTGCACCAACAGCTGAGAGGGAATGGGGCTCCCACTCAGGCTGAGGGGAGAAAACAACACTCCAGTGAATGCAAGGACATGCACACAGACGTGTGTGAGGAGGTGGGGATGATTTAGGTGTTCATGGTGGGATGTCATCCAGCCCTCTCAGGGAGCAGCACCTGACAGAGTGAGTTACAGCTGAGTGCTCCAGGAGTGTGCTACACCCACCTGTCAGGGTGAGGAGAGACAAGAACCAGTCCTGAAAGGGAGCAGACACAGGGAAAACAGGGAGAAGGAACAGTGAGGCTGAGATGCCTTGTCCATGGCCTCTGTCCTGTCCACAGGCCAGCAGCTCCCAGAGGTTTTGGCATGGAGCACACCACGGATGGTTCATCACCATGGAAGGGGGAACCATCACATTTTAACACCAGACTTTAAAATGAATGCTTGTACCTACCACAGAGTAGTTACCACAGCCTCATTATCTGCTAGCAGGCCTTACCCTGCAGTCTGTTACCACTCTGTGGTTCCTAGAAGAACAAAAACACTGCAAAGGCCAGGCCCCAGATGAAGGTACTGTGGCCTGTAGTGGGTCTATGTGGCTGCTGTGCAGATCATCACAATGGTCCTGGATGGGCAAATGATGGGCAAGACACGATACCCTGTGCTGCAAACAGTGCTGGCCAAGAAAACTGGGGAGAACAAAACAATTGGGGTTGGAGACAAGGAATTCAGGAGCACTAAGCTGTGTGAAATGCCAAAATAACAGCAGCTGCATTTTACAGCAGGGGCTGTGTGCAGGGCTGGGGAAGAGCTGCCTGCACACACTGCCCTGGCAGCCTTGGCAGCCTGTCCTGGGCAGGGTGTTCGACCCCAGGGGCAAAAAGGGAGCAGCTGTACCCTGAAACACAGCGGGAGCCAGCACTGCACTGGCACAGCCGTCCCGGCAGAACTCATCCCACAATGGTGCAGTGTGTGGATGCTTCCGTTTGGTAGGAATCCTCCTGTCTCTGTGCAGGTTGCTTCTATTTGTAATGACAAAAAAGCAATTTACCTGTAAAGAGAGGGGTGGCACACCTGCAGGTGTCAGCTCTGTGGTGATGAGGAAAGGGGAATAAAAAACCAGCAAGAGCCGGGGGAGAGCCAAGGGTAAAACCAGATAGTGTGAGTGGGAATGCTTTGAGAAATGTATCAGTGTCGTTTCAGTTGGGAAATATTTATCATTTAAGGACTTGGCCTTCCATCTGTACCTCCTCGGACGCCAGAGCTGACTGTTCCAGCGCGCTCTGACCGCCCTCAGGGACGCACCATTGCCCATGGCTCCAACACCGCCCTCAGGCACTGCCCGGGCCACGGCGGCTCCCGGGGCAGGCAAGGAGCCGTGCCCGCCAGCAGTGGGTGCTGAGGAGGCGCGGGGGTAGCCTGGCCTGGAGCTGACCATGGAGCCTGCCCTGGGGCACCCCATGGAGCCCTCCATGGAGCTGACCATGGAGTTCACCATGGAGCCCCCATGGAGCCCGCCATGGAGCTGACCATGGAGCTCACCATGGAGCTCACCATGGAGTTCACCATGGAGCTCCCCATGGAGCTGACCATGGAGCCCGCCACGGAGTTCATCATGGAGCCCCCCATGGAGCCCCCATGGAGCTCACCATGGAGCTCACCATGGAGGCCCCCATGGAGCTGACCATGGAGCCCGCCATGGAGCTCGCTATGGAGCCTGCCATGGAGCTTGCCATGGAGTCCCCCATGGAGTCCCCATGGAGTTCACCATGGAGCTGACCATGGAGCCCGCCCTGGAGCGCGGGCCAGCCCGGAACGGCCGCGCCGGGCTCGGTTCCCCCCGGCGGGCGCGGGCCGGGCCCGGCGGAAGCGGAAGCGCGGCGGCGGCGGCGGCGGGAGCGCGGCGGGCGGTGGGTGCGGGCCCGGCGGGGCTGGGCAGGGCAGCGGCGGCTCCCGGGGTCGCGGTCCCGGGGCTGCCAGGCCGGGCTGGGCCCCCGTGCCCCGCGGAGGTCCCGGTGCGCCCGCGGGCCCCTTCCGTGCTCACCCAGGCGGGGCTGGGTGTGTGCAGGCGCTGCCGCTCCCTGAGGAGAGCGGGGACAGAGGGACTGAGCTGTCCCCAGGGAGCGGTCACAGCCCCCAGGCTGCCAGAGCTCCAGGAGCGCTGGGACACCGCTCTTAGGCACTGGGTGGGAGCGTTGGGTGTCTGTGCAGGGCCAGGAGCTGGCCCGGGTGGTCCCTGTGGGCCCTGAAGCACGGGACATCCATTCTGTGATTATTTGTTTAGAGCCCCCTTCAGCTGCTCTCAGCATCCTCAACAGGGTGAGATAACTTACTCTAGAGCGGTCACGTTTCAGGCTGGCTGCTTTTGGAGCAGAAAGTTCCCCTGGCGTTGCAGCTGGCGAGGTGCAGCGCTGTGTGCACGGGGGGCAGGAGGCAAAGATCGAGCCCTTGGCTTGGGAGGGCACAGCAGCTCCGTGCTGTGTGCCAGGGACCTGCTGGGTCAGCTCCCTGCCTGGCTGGCTCCGGTAGAGCTGCTCATGTAGAACATCATCAGCAGAGGCTAAAAAGTGCCAGTGCCTTTGTTCAGAGCGTGGTGTCACTTCACAATGGGTTAATCACGTTTCTGAGGCTCTTCAACTCAAAAGCACAGCCCAAGGCCACTGATGAGTTTCCTTTCCTGCCTGCTGGTGTTCCAGCTGTGGGAGTGCTGTGCTGATCCGGCTTTCCCTGCTCCTTTAGATCCACGGAAATGGGGAACACGAGCAGCGAGCGTGCGGGGCTGGAGCGCCATGGGCACAAAGGCACCCGAGGGGACAGCTCAGGAGGAGCCACCAAGGAGGGGGACAGACCCAAAATCCTCATGGACAGCCCTGAAGATGCAGACTTGTTCCATCCAGAGGAAATGAAGGTATTGCTGGTTTGTTCTCCCAGCATTGCTTGCTTGGAATGCTCTGGGGCTGTTTGGAACCTGCAGGGGTTTTGTCATTGAGTTTACACAGAGCTGTCCATCCCCCTTCCTTCCCATGCCAAGGAGTGAATTGGTGTTTAAGCAGGTATAACTGGAGGGAAGAGCATTATTTTGCCTTCCACTCTTCCTGCAAATTTGGAAGGCTTTAACACCTTTGCAGAATTTGTGCAAATGAACTTGTGAACAGTATCTAGAAATGCATTTTGTATTCTGCATCTGACAAAACCTGCTTGTAGTAAACTTAGAGAATCCTGCCTGAGGGCAAAAAAGGCTTTCAGTACAGCACAGGTTCTCTGAGTCTGGTGGGAAAGAACCTTTTTTGATTGAGACATTGTGCTTGCAGGCTCCATTGGAGAAAGAGGAATTTCTAGCTTGGCAGCAGGACCTGGAGGTGAATGACAAAACCCCCACTCAAGCTCGGCCTACGGTGTTCCGCTGGACTGGAGGGGGGAAGGAGGTTTATTTGTCAGGGTCCTTCAACAACTGGAGTAAAATTCCTCTGACAAGGAGGTAAGGGAGTGCTGCTGCAGCGTGTTCCCCATGGACTGGCAGTGCTCAGCGCCATGAGGGAGGTGGGCAGCTCAGAGATGGGATTGGGCTGGGTTTACCACTGTGCTGCCTCTCTCCTCTGCCCTTGATGACAGAGTGGCTTCTCCATTCTTGGATGGCACAGAGTGGAAGCTGAGCTGTGTGTCAGTTCACTGGGCACAGCACACAGATGACCGCAATCTGTCCCTGCTGTGAGCCTGGAGCAGGGAAAGGAGAGCTGGTTCCATCACACACAGTGTCTGTGAGACATCCTTGCCATGTCAGTGGCTTTTGCCCAGCTCAGAGGGCCCAGAAGCCTGTTGGAGCAGCATCAACAGTTTCTCAGCTTTTTTGAGATGCTGCTAAAGCCTTCTGAAGAATCAGGGAGTTCACAGCCCTGATTCCTCACAGAGTTTGGAAATTGCCAAGCAGCAGCTCTGCAGACCCAAAGTAACCCAGAAGTATTGAGTTGCTGCTTTTATCTGCTCATTGTTCATTTATTTCACGGGCATTTGGGAAATGCAGTTTATGATGGCAAATACTGAAAGGCAGGGAAATATGAGAAAGCTGATCTTGTTCCATCAGCAGATAAATGAGGTCTCTTGTGCTAACAAGTAACATGAAGATGTGAGAGTGACTTTACAAAAGCTCAGTGCCAGTTATGGGATGTCAGGAGTGTGGGGGCACTCACTGTCACAGAGGAAATTATCATGAGCATTAATCATAATTTGATTCCTTGCCTTTGGATTGCATCAGAGATTCTCTGCCTGTTTAAGGTTTTGCATGAGGAGGCTTCTGCTCTGTGTCACAGTGTGTGTCACAGCTTAGAGACCAAGGCACTTCTCAGAATTCTGCAGGGCTGATTGTTTGTCTTGAATTCCAGTCACAATAACTTTGTGGCAATCCTGGACCTGCCAGAAGGAGAGCACCAGTACAAGTTCCTCGTGGATGGGCAGTGGACACACGATCCTGCAGAGGTGAAGTTTGCTTTGAGTCTCTGCTTATTGATTGAGGCATCTGAAGAGGAGAAAGGGGCTGTTCAGGCTGGTGACAGAGAGGTTTCTGCTGGCTGCTGTCCTGGGTGGCAGCATCAGCCTGAGCTCAGAGGGCAGGAGATGCAATGAGGGACAGGAGCTCTTAGCCATTGGTTTATAGGTGATGCCAAGCTTTGCTTGCCCAGTGCCAAACTGCCTTTTAGAGCATTGCAGCACTGCTGGCAGCCCAGAGCTTGCTGTGCCTTCCTGGCTCTCTGTGCCAGCATGTTGCTATTGCTGCTCTAGATCTTTTCACAGTCCAGTAATTGTGCCAAAATCTACCAGGCCTGCTTTTCCTCCTCTGCTGTAAAAAGAGCTTTAACCCCAGCCTGCCCAGCAGTTCCGCACGTGCTCAAGGACAGTGTCCAGAGCTGGTGTCACAGGTAGCTCCAGCCCAGAGCTGACCCCTGCCTTGTCTGGAGCCCTGTGGGCTTGGCAGGTTCAGCTGGCATTTTCCCCTCCCAGCCCTTAAAATCCTGCACTTCCTCTTAACCTAACACTCATTGAGCTCTTCTCACATCTGGTTCTGTCATATTTCAAATGTAATTGTACCTCATTCTTGGTAATGCTGATTGTGCAGTTCTGAGAATCTATTAGTCCCACAGGCTTTTTTTATTCTGGTTTTTCTGTCTTGTCTTTTGGCAGCCAGTAGTAACCAGCCAGCTGGGTACTGTCAACAACATCATCCAGGTGAAGAAAACTGACTTTGAAGTGTTTGATGCTTTGATGGTGGACTCCCAAAAATGTTCAGACATGTCTGGTATGAGCTCACTGGTAACTTTGTGTCACACTTTTTAGAGCTGTTCAAAATTTCATTTTCCCTTTTTATCTGAGTTAAAGCTCCAGCAGAGATTAATCTCCACTTGTGTCAGGCCCTGGGATGTGTGCAGGAATCACAAATGCCCAAAGGAAGAAAGTAGAATGCACAGAGGGGGAAGCCTGTGACAAAGCAACACAGATCTGATGAGGAGGGAGCCCTGGGTGCTCAGTAACTTTGTTTGCCCCTGCTGTGTGCATGGCTGGGTTTAGGGCAGTCACTGGTGGATCAGTCTCTGCTTTACCCCATCAAACCAACGTTGAGAGCCTGCACTGCTCCTCATTCAGTCTTCTCTGCTAAGCAGGTGGCTGAGGGGGTCAGGGGTTGCACTCAAGCAGGGAGAAATTAGGTGCATCTCAGTCATCACACAGGCTGGGGAGTATCCTCACAGTGTAGTGTACATGATCTACCTAAGAGTAATACAAAAATGCAATTCTGGATGAAGTTTCATCTTCCAGTGTAACAGGAGAGAGGTGGGGTTTAGCTTGAGCCGTGTCTGAGGTCAGCCCTGCCCTGTTGGCTGCTGAGCTCTGTAGGGATGGAGGCCATGACTGAGGCAGCACCTTCCACCCTCCTTCAGCAGACCTTTGAGCCTGGGGCAGGAGCTGTGCTTGGGTGTGTTTGCTCTGTGTGACTTTGCCCTGGACAAAGCCTTTTTGGAGGAAGTGTTGTGTGATAGTGGGGCAGGCCAGGAGGAGATTCTAGCAGATGCCTTCCCCCACAGGCTGTAGCAGTGTTTCCTTTCCCTGATCAGACTTGGAAGGGCTCTTCCCACAGCCCAGCCTGCAGGGGGGAGCAGTTGCCTTTCTCAGGTGCTTCCCATGTCCTTGCCCTTGTAGGGCAGCCTGCACTGTGGGCTGTTAGCAGGAGAAGTGCTGGGCAGAGATGACAAAGAAGTTCTGAAGTGCAGTTGTGCCCTCAGAACTCTGCTGCCCAGAACCTCACAGCTCCTTCCAAGTCAGACTTTGGGCACCTTAAATCCCCTCTTGGGCAGTGACTGATCCTCTGGCACTGCACCAGCTGCTGCAGTTGTACTTAAGTGCCATTGATTCCTTTAGGCTGCATGTACCTATAAAGAGCAGATGTTCTCACAAAGCATTCAGAATGAAATATTTACCATATTTACCATTTGATCTCTGGCAGAGCTGTCCAGTTCACCCCCAGGACCTTACCACCAGGAGCCCTATGTCTGCAAGGCAGAGGAGCGCTTTAAATCCCCCCCCATTCTCCCCCCACACCTGTTGCAGGTCATCCTGAACAAGGACACAGGCATTTCTGTGAGTGCATCACTTTGCTTTGTTAAATAATGCCCATGAGGATGGGAACAGGTGGGGAAAAATCTGGATATGGGCAAGGGACAGCTTAGGAAAAACCTTAGGATAAGTTATTGTGCTGGTGAGTTCCTTATTATGTATGTCCACAAGGATTTATCTGAAGTAAATCTATTTTTCTAGTTGACTGTCTTTAAAATGGAAATCTGAAATGCTGTTTCCCTCCCAAAATCTTAATCTTGTTAACTGTTAAGACCCCAGAAGCACATAAGGGATAATCACAGTCTGATTCATGGTGCTGGTGAGGATGCAGAGGGTTTTACCCTGGGGTTGTTCTAAAATGGTGACTGTGTTTGTGATGGACTCGGTGGCTGGTCACAGATGCTGTTTGTCACCCCTCAGCTGTGAGTGAACTGTCACTTGTGTTACTGTCACACTCTTACTGTCACACTGTCCCTCTTCTCTGCAGTGTGACCCTGCTCTGCTCCCTGAGCCCAACCACGTCATGCTGAACCACCTGTATGCACTTTCCATCAAGGTGAGAGCCAGGGCATGTCGTGCCCAGGGGCAGCCTGGGTGTCTGGCCATGGCACTTGCTCACTTGTTTTCCCTCCCCTGTAGGATGGAGTGATGGTGCTCAGTGCTACACACCGTTACAAGAAGAAATACGTGACCACTTTGCTGTACAAGCCAATATGAGCATCACAGTCATTTGTGACCAATTGTTCTGGGCCAGTGCAGTCTCAGAAGAAAATGCTTCACATAACCAAATGTACTTCTGCTCTGAGCTGTAGCAAACAAACTCTGATTTCATATTTTTCCTGAGACTTCCAGGTTCTCCTGTATTTGCCTTATTTTGTTAGCCCCACCGTGGAAGTTCTTGGAAATGGCAGCTTCACAGCACCCAGACAGGTGGCCAAGGTGTCAGTGCCCCTTGTCAGCTGAGTTAAAAAACCACCAATTTAATTAGGCTGAATAATGTCAGGGCAGCAAGAGATCAAAGAGCTTTAGCAGCAAGGCAGACTGGGAGTCTGCCAGCCCAAAGTCTGGAAAGTTCAGGATTCTTGGGGAATCTGATTTGAGCATAACACTCAGCAAAAGCAGGCTCATTACTGCTTCCATTGCTCATCAAACACTATTTCAGTAGCAAGTTCCAAACTTGCCTGGCTGAAGTAAGTGTGAATATTGATGATCATTTTGTAGCAGCCTTTTCTGGGCAAAATCAGCAACATAATCATCACTACAAGCTCATTATTATTTTACGGTAGAGTGGGGTGCACTGTTTCTACTGTGAATAGCTCTGTAGTTTTTTCTCTTCATGAGAACTGAAATACATCTTTTCCCCTGTGGAATTTCTGGTAAAGACAACTGTTTTTAATGGCTGGATTTATCATAACTGTGTCTTGCAGTAATCTGCTTTTGGAAAACTGGTTTCTCTTGCTGTCACTAATGAGGACTTCCTTAAGCTGAGAGAGGAAGGAGATGGATGGATTCAGTTTAGGGATGAGCTCCTCAGTAACAGCCTGAGAGTGACTGTAAGTCTCCTGTGTCCAGTGGCCAAACTCACCCCTCAGTGTCAGCAGAGTGCTGGATGCAGCACCCTCTGTGCCCAGGGCTGGAGCCGGGCAACTTTTTATTCTGTTTCTGTTTTCTAAGTGATTCTAGTAATGCCAGGCTGCCTGTCCTTGGTGCTGACAGCCTGTTTTATCCCAAAACAAATGCAACATTAATGCAAACCTGCTGCCAGCGTGCTTGTTGTGGTGCCTGGGGCACCGTGCCCGTGCCAATGACAAGCAGCCCCTCCCAGCGTGGGGGAAGCACTTTGCACAAGTCTGTGAGGACTCAGAGTGGGGACAGAGCTGCAGCAGCCAGCGTGGGGTGAGCCACAGTGGGAGGGTGCCTTGCCAGCCTGGGGTCTGTTCACCAGCCTTGTTGCAATATCTTCAGTAGCTGAGTAGATCTGGGTCTAGTGCAATGGTTTTCTCTGAAAACTCTTTCTTCATTCTGTGCTATGGATAGTATTTAGTATTCTGAACTACAGAATTGCTTGTTTTCAACCTCTTTAGAAACAAATAAAACATTTTCAAGAGATGTGGGTGACTTGTCTTGTTACTACCATTCCCTCCCGTGGTAACCTCGCTTCAGTGAATTATTTTGTTATTACATGTGATTTCCTGATTGCAGTTTTATGCTTTGGTGGGTTGTACAAGCTTTTCATTAAATGGTGCAGATTGAAACACTTTCTCCTCTTGCACTCAGTCAGTGAACAAGACCGAGGTGTTTGTGTTTATTTGTGAGTTTAGAGGAAGGACAAGAGTCCAGTTATTTAAAAGCTCCAGCAGCAGAGCTGGAAAGCTTGGGATGGGCCTTAAGCCTCCTGTCAGCTTCTCTTTGTTCCAGCAGCCACTTCAAGCAGACGTTTTTCCCCAAGCCTTTGTCCTCACCAGGGTGTGAGGGTCCTCCTCAGCTGTGTGAGGGGACAATCTGTGACATTCTGTGTCCCTGCAGTGTCCAGGAGGGCCAAGGCTGTGGGTTGTGTGCTCAGTGCTGGTACCTGCAGAGCACTCCATGTTCTTCAGCAGTGCATCAGCTATGGTGGAACCACAGGACAGGAAAAATTGCTGTGTAGAAAGCTTAAGGATTTTTGATTTTTGGTTGGTAACCCCTGGCCCTGTGTCAGCTGGCAGAGGGCTCAGTACAGGGACTGCAGCTGCCACTGCACCATCAGCTTTTGCAGCCCCAAAGGTTGGGAGCCCACAGTGGGGCCCCAGGCTGTGGAGGGCCTGCAGGAGGGACCCTCCCTCTGCTCCCTCTGCTCCACCCTTCCCTGCCCACGGGGACCAAGCCCAGCTCTCCCCAGGCCTCCCCAGCCATGAGCAGCAGTGATGGAGGTGAGTTGGCCCCTGGCACCCCAAGTGACAGTGCCAGGAGCCACAGATCTCCTCAGGTAAGCCTCTGCCACCCTCAGCCCTTTCTCTCCAGCAGGATGAAGAAGAGGAAAGCTGGCTGTTTTGGTTTTTACTAGGGGGTTGGTTTTGGGGTGTTACATTGGGGTTTTTTGCTGGGTCATTTTTGGCTTGACAGGTGAATGAATTAATCACTCTGTGTTCCCTTATTGCAATGGGATGAATCAAATCCCTCCAAAGGCAGAAGCTGGATCAAGAGTTGGATTTATTAGCTCACTTACATTCCCCACCCACAGCTCACAGTCTGTGCTGTTATGTTTATTCTTGGCTGTTGCTAGGAGAGCACATTTTTTTAAAGGTAGATGCAGACGCTTTTGTTACAGTCACTTTTGGGGACCCTGGAGTAAACCAGTACAGGAATAACAAGAGCTGCCTGCCCTCCCCAACCCCCTGAATTTCAGCACAGCATGTGGGGGTCAAGCTGACATGGATTTGTGTAGGGTTCTTGGGAATCAGAAAGCTCAAGAAATAATTTTTTTTTACTCCACCAGTTTCTGGATTAATTTAGTTTTGTTACAATTCGAATCATGCATCATAGGACTGCAACAATGAGCTTTAAATAAGTATTGTTTGTGCACAGTAAAAGAAATAAAGGAACATTGAACAAGTCAGCATTTCATCATATACATCATAGTAGGCACAATAGATAAATCAAGCAGCTCGGGGTTGATGGAGAGCATGTTCATGGAGAATGTCATGTAGACCAAATTGTAAGAGGAGCCATTGGTTACCCACGCCCAGAGCGTCCACCAAGCCCTTTCTCAGGGCTGAGGGGATGGGTATGTGCACAGAACCAAAACCACTCAACAGTAGGAGGACAAATTAAGTTACTGTAGGCAGCAGTGTGAATATTAAAAACCTCTTCCTGTGAAAGAATACTTCAGACCCTGTAAAAACTAGTTCAGTTAAAAATAGATGTATTTACATTTAAGTCTGATCTAGCAAGTTTTCCCAGCAGGTGTAAGTTGAGCTGTACAGTAACTGCAGGTTGTACTCAATCTGACTGGATTTGTGAATGGTCTTTTTTTAAAGTTGCAGCTATTAGGCCTTAAAGCACCAGCATTTTACAGCAGTGGGATGGGGAACTGCCTCCCTTCACTTTGCTCCCAGTACACTGCTGGAATAAGTCCCAAACCTGTCATTAGATCACACTCTTGTTAATTAAGATGCCTTTTTTCCAGCTCAAGGTGTGTGGGGTCACTTACCAGGGCAAGACTGTTTTCCCAGACACTCACAGGTGCTTCAGCTCTGCCCCTGTCACAGGTGAGGCAGGACTGAGCAGTGACTGCTGCTCTAGTGAAGCACCTGGATAAACCCACCTGGGTCCGTGCATGTGAACATGCCTGGGGTTTGTGGAGCCACTTATGCTACTGTTCAGGGAATGAAGAGTATTAAATGCTGAATATTGCCAGGGTTTGCTCTGGGGTCAGCTGTGGATGCCCCAGAGCCAGGGAAGGGGCAGGAGGGGCAGGGGCACTCCAGAGAGAAGGAAGCCGTCATTTCACCATGCCAGTCAAGATAGTTATTTGTTTTATTTGGTTATTGTTCAACAACAAAGTTCAATACTTTCCCGGTGGAGCTTTGAACTGTCCCTCTGGTTCCCTCCCTTGTCAATAATAAAAAGGTAATGAAGAAAAATCCTGTACTTTTAGAGACCTAAAACCTCATTTATGCTAACAAGCTTCAATTGCAATTTAATGTTACAATATTTCTTCATGGGAGCGAGGAGGACTGAGGCGAGGCCCCTCCAGTGTCTGAGGATGGCTGTCCACAACCACCAGTAAAACAAAAAGCCAGTGTTGAAAAACGCACAGTTTACAATAAAAAAGTAGAAACCAATTCAATTCCCTTTTGTTACGAATATAAAGTTTCTTGTAAATATGTACAGTCCTTTGAGCTATTTCTATAGCAGGAAGCATTTCACGAACAAGACACAAGATATACACTTTCAGGACTCAACAAGCCCATTTCTGAGGTCTTGAAGATCTTCCATGAGATGCAAAGATTTAAAGACTGATCTCAGTGACCTTTCGAAATATTCAGACCAGGAGACAAAAACTTTCAGCAAATTTCCTGCCAAATCATCTGACTGAAAATAACCCAACAGACAAGAGAACAGAATACAATATTCATGAAACTCGCCAAGGGACACTGACAAGGCATTGGAATTTTGATGGGTTTCTAGAACAGGTTAGCACAGGCTTGCAAGGGACTAGCAGAAGTTTTAAGTGTGGCGCCAAGGGAAGAAGATTGGATGCAGTTTTGCTCTTTCCAGTTGTAAAGAACATGGTTGTTCACTTAGAATGTTGCTATTGCAGAGTGAATGGTCAAAACCTGCTTTGAAAATCATTTGCTCTCTGCTTCATGTTCACAGCAAAAGAGAATAGGAAGCAATAAAAGGCTCGAGGTCAGACACGGGGAAGCCAAGGTGTGTCAGCAACTGCCAAAGCTGCTCCCTGTGGGTGTCCTGTGCCAAGACACCGGATCTGATTGCACCACAAGCTACAGCTCACGGGAGGAGCCAGCCCGGGCTGCTCCTCCTGGGGAGCTGAGGCTGGCAGGACTCATTGCTGAAGAGACCATGTCCAGTGCTGAGAGGAGAACACAAGTGTGACTGTGATTCTTGTCATAGAATAAGGCTTGTTAACTCTTCGGTGCCAAATTTCCAGAGTAATTAACGGCTATTTGCAGCGTAATCTAAAGGTTTCGGTTAATTTACAAGTGAGGTACAATACACTACTCAGCAAAGCAACCTAAAAGGAGAGAGCCAGTGATGGTGCAGCAGCATGCAGTGAACTGTCATGCAGAAGACCTGGATAAAGTCTTACAACCCAGTAGCTTATAGGTAATGCACTTTGTCTCAGGGCCGGGCAGGGGGCTTGGTTAAAGCAGGGTTCTTCCCTCCCCATCAGAGCTGCTCTAAAGCGATTTTAGTGAGAACAAAATAACTTTCAGAAGTGGCAGGTGAACAGGCTAATCAGAAGAAATTTTTCATGTGTTCTGTGGAGAACATCCAACCACAGCTCCTATTGAAAGACTCACTCACCTTGGCCCTTCTGTTTCCAGGCCATCAGGGGCTCCCAGCACATCTCAGAACTTTGACCAACTTTCTGTTAAGGGGTGCTAACCACAGTGATGACCTGGGGTAGGACACGAGTCCCATTTCCTAGATGAACTACTAGGGACTAAAGTGGATACAAAAAGTTCATGAACTGCTTGAAAGAGTAACAGTAGTACAAAGTGCAAAAACAGGAGTGCAGGAAAGTGCAGAGAAATTAACTGAGCTGCGAACGGTCTTGGAAAGCGTCACGGCTCCCGCTGCGGAGCGAGCTTTGGCCCGGGAATGCTGTTTGGGAGCTGGGCTGCAGACAGATGGAGTGCATATACTCAGTATATTTCCTTTTTTTCCTGCAGGTCAAGACGAGTAACTTTGTCTAGCTGAGACTTACACTGAAGACTGGTCCCAGACCTGGCAGGGAAATAAAAGGACAAGTTACAAGTCACGGGTGCTTCTCTTCCAGGCACGAGATGGTGGGAGCAGTACATCCATCACCTGCTGCTGCCACAGAGCCAGGGCTCCTGTCATCCACAAACGCTGACATGGCTAATAGGAAGAGTAGGCCTAGGTTAAGGTCTGCTAAGGGGAATGGAAGGGGCAATGGGGTTCAGGTTGAGATTGCTAGAAGTAAGGCTAGTATTGGGGTTGTGATAAATAAGATTGGGGAGGATGTTAATGGTCAAATAGGTTCTTTGATAAATAGTTTTACTCCATCTGCTAGAGGCTGTAGGAGCCTGAATGGGCCAATAATGTTTGGGCCCTTTCGGCCTTGTACGTAGCTTAGCACAGCAGGCTCCGACGTTCCCTGCTCCAGATATTATTCCCCTTCAAGTCCTCTATCACTTGCTAGTAAATGCACAATTGCTTTCAGCTCATTCTAGGGTCAAGCAGCTTTTGCAGTGCCACAACCAGCCCAGGGCTGGTGGTCACAGGGCCAGTGAATGACTGACACCATGTGGCCTCTGCTCCAACAGAATTTGAGGAGCAGGGGGTGAGCTTTGATCTGCTCTTGTGCTTTGCAGTGCCACCAGCCCTTCTGCACTACACCTCCAAGCCGTTCC